GGTGGTGGGGGACGCCCATCCGAGTGGATCAAAGAGTTTGGCTATAGCGGACAGAACTTGCCGCTTTGTTTGCGGGATTTCGAGAACTAAGTCTACGCGGAATTGGAAAGCGTCAAGCGCTGGAGTCCAAGTTATGCCTAGAATCTTTACGTTTTCGTCCAACTGAAGATCACGGTGACACGCTAAACCGTGGTCCTCAGACGGAATATCGGAGAGTAACTCCGCCCGATTGCTCGCCCATTTTCGCAATGTAAATCCTCCGCGAGACAGAAGCTCGCAAAGTTGTTTGCGAGCTGTTTGAATTTGCGAAATGGTGTGAGCACCGAATAGAACGTCGACGTAAATATTATCCCTAAGAATCGAGACAGCGATAGGAAATGGCTCGCCTTCATCCGTTGCGAGCTGTTTAAGAACGCGGAGCGCGAGGTATGGAGCGGAGACCATTCCGTACGTTACTGTATTAAGTTGGTAGTCGAGAATGTCGGCACTCTCATTAGGCCTCCAAACAATTCTTTGAAAGTCGCGATCGCGGGGATCTACCCAAATTTGTCGGTACATCTTGGCGATGTCCGCGCTGTATACGTAGCGTGGTGTACGCCAGCGAATCAGGACAGCCGGCAAGTCTGTCTGTAGTTTCGGACCTGCATGGAGATGTGAGTTGAGAGATGTTTCGTTGGAGGTGGGACTTGAGGCGTCGAATACGACCCTTAGGCGAGTCGTGGCACTAGACGTTCGAATAACGGGATGGTGGGGAATGTAAACAGCGAGTGAATTTGTCGCGGACGTTGGCTCAACTCGCGTCATGTGGCGTAAGGACTCGTATTCGGCGAGGAAATCGGAATATTCCCTTTTGACTTCAGGGCACGAATCGAGTCTCCGTTTGAGAGAGGTCAATCGGTGCACGGCTATCGACCTCGAGTGGCCTATCTCGATCGGAGATTTAGACTTGAATGGAAGGCGAACGGTATATCGTCCGTCTTCAGTGCGCGTGTGAGTCTGCTGAAAATGCATTTCGCATTGTTGATCGAGCGGGGAGCGCGCTGAGACACGGGGGGGCTCCTCAACCTCCCAGAATTTTCGAATCTCCCGTTCTAGAGAGCAATGAAAGGCGCGAATTTCATGACGCGTAGACGGTCGGTTTGTCGTTGGTCCCGAGATGAGCCAACCGAGATGAGACTGTTGAGCAATCGGTTGACCTTTGAGCCCCTTACGGACTCCGCTCTGTATGATCTCGCTGTAAATGTCCGCGCCGATAATAACATCGATCGGACGTGCTCCGGTAGGATTGTTGTCCGCTAGGCGCAGTTTGTCCAAGTGGATCCAATCCGGAACTACCTTTTCCCGTCGCGGAGTGTACTTAGTGAGGGATGGGAGGATAAAGGCGAGGGCCTGAAACTCCGGTTTGATTCGATCCCGTGGAGATATAAAAATGGTAGTGGCATGTCGGCATATGCCGGCTGACGCTCCACCAACGGCTGAAATGGTGGTGCGAGTGGGGTTGCGTTTAACGCGTAAGGATTGCGCGAGTCGTTCGCTTATGAACGTAACTTCGGAACCCTGGTCCAGCAGGGCCCTGACGGTTTCGGTTCGGTGATCGCGTGAGCGGACAGAAACCTCGGCGGTGGCGAGTAAGACCGGCGTGGGATCCGCGTCGGCGGCGATCGCATTCATCGCGGATACTTGTGAGTTGGCGGGCAACTCTCCGGTCGTATTCGCATGGTCGGATTGATCGGGCGTCGGCGTAGCAGTTGAGGAAGAGATTGACTCAGAGTGCAAAAGCGTGTGATGTTTTTGCTGGCACGTGCGGCACGTAAATGTGCTTGTACAATCGCTAACACTGTGCCGAGCACTCAGGCAATTATAGCATCGATTTGTCTGCTTTACTAAGTCGCGTCTCTGAGTCGCACTCTTGCTCAAGAACTTGGTACACTTGCTCAAGTAATGAGCGCCTTTGCACAATGGGCACGCTACCTCTTTTGATTTCGTCGCGGCGACGTTGTGTGCCCTGGCCTGCCGAGGCTTGGCGGACGCCGCGGGAGCGATCTCCTCGAGGGCAACAGCGCGCGAGTTTATGAATTTCTTAAGAGTTTCATACGTGGGAATCGTGTCTGAATCGTCGGAACAGCATTTCAATTTCCACGCTCTTTTCGTCGCGGGATCTAGTTTTTGCGATACGAGGTAAACAAGTATATCGCTTAACTGTTCGTCCGAGCTTCGATTTAGTTGCTTCAAGGCGGATATCGCGCGCTCCGCTTGATCGCGTAACGCGTGGAGTTCAACGGTGGACTCGCGGGAAACCGAAGGTAAATTGTAGAGTGACGCAACGTGAACATCTATTAATTTTCGCTTATTTTCAAAACGAGCAACCAGTGCGTCCCACGCTGTTTGGAAGTTATCGGCGGTAATGGAAATTCCGGATATAGTATCGCGAGCGCGACCAGTTAAGCTGGATGCCAGAAAATGCATTCTAGAGAAGTTTGAAATGTCTTTATTCGCGATGATTAACGATTTGAATCGGTCGCGAAAAGTCTCCCAATCAGCCGCGTCCCCGGAGAAAGGAGGCAGTTTGATCGGCGGAAGATGCTGTAGCGACAGTGATGATGATGCGGAGATCTCTGATACCGAAACATTAGCAGAGGTTTGGTTGTGTCTCACGATAGGCTCGAGGATTTCCAATTGCTCAGTCATGTAGTCCAGCGTCGCCAGAAAAATGTCCTCGTGCGCGTCAAGTTGACCCTCAGCAAAGTACGGAATTGTCTCTCGCTCGGCTTTGGTGTACTGGCTCGAGAGCGCGGCGTGTCCTTGCTTGCACTGCTGCCACGTCTCCTTCAGCGACGTCATTCTCGAACGGATTTTGGCGGGAGTGAAATTGTTCCTCCCGATCTTCCTGAGATTGTCCAGGGCCTTGGACACGGAATGGAGCAGCGAAAGCTGCATCTCTAATAGTTGAGGCATTTTGCGACTCACTCGTGCTCGGTGCTGGCACAAGGATTGATAATGAGCTTGGTGGCGTCGCGATAGTACCTCGCACTCAATGTAGGTAAGTCTTTGTCTTAGAACGGTTTGGCACTGCCCGAACGGCTTGTCCGGTCAGCTTCCGATCCGGCTCGAAGGACCAAAA